TTGAGACTTGCTTTGTGGTGTAATATGTGATCAATCCTGGAGAATGTTCCATGGACATTTGAAAAGAATGTGTGTTTTGTGATTTTGGATGGAATGTTCTGTATATATCTACTAAGTCCATCTGGTCTAACTTGTCCTTTAAGGCCAGTGTTTCCTTATTGATCTTCTGTTTGGATGATCTATCCATTGGTACAAGTGGAGTGTTAAAGTCCCCTACTACTATTGTGTTACTGTCTATTTCTCCTTTTATGTCTGTTAATAATTGCTTTATATATCTAGGTGCTCCTATGTTGGGTGCATAGCTATTTACAAGTGTTATATTTTCTTGCTGGATTGTTCCCTTTATCATTATGTAGTGCCTGTCTTTGTCTCTTTTTACAGTTTTTGTTTTAAAGTCTATTTTGTCTGATATAAGTATTGCTACCCTTGCTTTCTTTTCTCTGCCATTTGCATGGAATATCTTTTTCCATCCTTTCACTTTCAGTCTGTGAGTGTCTGTAGGTGTGAAGTGTGTCTCTTGTATGCAGCATATACATGAGTCTTGTTTTTTCATCGAATTGGACACCCTATGGCATTTGATTGGAGCATTTAGTCCATTGACATTTAAAGTAGCTATTGATAAGTATGTATTTATTGCCATTTTGTCACTTTTTTTTCTGGGTGTTTTAGTAGTTCTTCTCTGTTGCTTTCTTTTTCTCTTGCTCTTTTCCCTTGTGGTTTGATGTCTATCTTTAGTAATATGTTTGATTTCTTTTGTCTTACTTTTTTCCTTGCTTGTTATATGTTTCTGATTTGTGATTACCATGAGGATCCTATTTAATATACTATGCATATAGCAGTCTATATTGAGTAGATAGACACTTTAGTTTGATCTCTTTCTAAAAGCTCTACTTTTTCACTCCCCTCCTCCCACATTGTATGTTTTTCAAATCATATATAGTCTCTTGTTTAGTGTGTGTCTATCCATTACCCTCTTATCACTGAAATAGGTGATTTTAGTACATTTGTCTTTTAACCTTTATATTATCTTCACAGGTAGTTGATCTGCTGCCTTTACTATACTTTTACCTTACAAGTGATTTTATTGCCTGGTTTTTTGTTGTTGTTTTTGATAATTTTTTTTATCTCTATTTGTAGTCATTGCTTTCCCACTTAAATAAGTCCCTTCAGCATTTTACTTTTGGACATTTTGATTATAATATGTCTTGGTGTAGGCCTCTTTGGGCTTATCTTGTTTGGGGCTCTCTGTACTTCCTGAACTTGGATGTCTGTTTCCTTCCTCAGGTTAGGAAAATTTTCCTCTATTATTTCCACAAATAAATTTTCTGCCTTCAAGGGGGTTCTTATCTTAGAATCCATGAATGAGCTTTATGGCGTGGAGAATTGGCTAACAACAAAGCTTTTAATTTTTGATTTTCTTCCTATTATTTGAGTAAATACATATGCACATATTTCTTGAAAGACCTCTGAATATGTTAATCATAATCTGTTCTGTTATTTTTTTCTTTTTTCTTTGAATTTCCCTGCTTATTCTGGAGTTAGCTTCCTTTCTTTTTGTCGTGGTCTTTCTTTGTCATGGTTCTGATTAAACTCCTCTGCTTTGTGAACCTTGACTGTCTATTCATATTTGAAAATATTGAGTAGGTGGTCAGGTTTCCCCTGCTCTCCTGTAGGTGGGTCCATTTTATGCAAAATTTCCCCTTGGTGGGAATTTTAGTTTGGACACTTGGGTAGAAAAATGGCAGATTTCTCCTCCCAAACACTAGAATGAGAAAGGCTTTCTCTTGAGTTCTAGCTCCACACAAAACCCATTACTTTTCTTGTATCAATTTGATCAATTTCTTTAGAGAAGAACATATATGAAGAAGACAAATTATATACATAATTTTTTCCTCTTAGCAGTAGGCGTCCTTATAGTGGTGGCAGCTACCAATTAATTGTGTTTCTCCATCCACATGTTTAATGAACCCCTGTTTTCAGCCCCACATCTCACTCCTGCTCTCTGCTCTCGCTGGTGTTTTTGCACCCAAACCATCAGACTGTTCCTGCCTCAGTTTTCTCTGGGTTGCAGCTTTCTTGATTTCATTTGTCAACCCTCTCCCATGCATTTTATGTGTTTCCAGAATTTGCTGAAATCTCTTCTCTGTTGGTGGCCTTCCACATTCTGTCCTCTTGATTGTTATGGGCTTATTTATTTGTATTGACCATCTGGGCTGTTATTTCTGTGTAGTCCTGAAAGAGAATGAGGCAAATTTGTATGCCCAGTTCACTATTTTGAATCAGAATTCTTCTCCCTATAACTTTGAAATTTGTTAGTTGAAATAATATTTAAATATTAAAATTAAATTATTCTCTTAAGGTGTTTCTCAGTCTAAACAAATTTAGCATGACTGTGCCTGTGCCAGCGCATCCTCGAGCGATGTGCACTCAGCAGCAGCAGCAGCAGGATATCTAGAATCCTTCCTTATTGATGGGATTTGATCAAAGCCCCCTTGTGTTACATTCATAAATATCAACAACCCCTCTCACTTGGATGGGAACATTCTCTTCAATGGAGGCATGATGCCAAAACAGGCAAGGGAAGATCTGAATCTTCATCTTTCCTATGAATAGGAGGCTTGATTTGAACATCATTTACCAAAATTAGATTCTTCTCCAATGGATAAGTCTTATCTTTAAACATCATAAACTATTTATTATTACATCTCCAAACAAAGGAATTTATGCACATTTGGTGAAGCCACATGGGATGAAATATTCAAGCTGGTTTAGAGCTTGATGCACAGGCAGAAAATTGCAATAATGCCTCTGTTAAAGTGTACAGAAATCTGACGTTTTGTGTAATAATTCATGATTGGTATTGAAGAACCTGACAACTATCATTTTTCTCCAATGCCACTTGCAAATTGGTGAGACTATGGACATTCTTGGTAAAGTTGGCTCCTTGTATTTATCTTTATGTGCATACCAACCTCATCAAGCCACAGTATTTTCTGTGCTTCTTCTGAAGTCTTTAATGATTCTGTCTTGAAAAAATGAAAGAAATACAGGGAAAAGAAAACTTTGGTATTCTGTACCCAGAAAGAACACTCATGGTGCCTGAAAACACATTTGGTTTTGTTGGTTTGGGGAGAATACAGGCTCCAAACGACATCACACTGGATGCTTTATGAAGCAGCACGTGGACTTGCGTGGAGCCAGCCAGTCTGGAAAACATCTTCTTTATCAGGCACACACCTCACTAAGCCAAGGCTTTTTTAAGACGTTTTCTCGAGTAGGAGCTGAATATCATTTTCTCTATTTCTCAGAAGTCTCTTAGATTTCCAGTGGATGTATCTTGAAACACCAGCTTGAATTTCAGGTAGAATATTCACTTTTCTTCCCTTCTCAGGACATTTATCTTGAAAAAACTCATTCATGGCTTGGCTTTTTTGATAACAGTTATATTTCTGTCACAGAAAAGAGATCCGTCTTTGGTTAATTTCCATGCAGTGGATTCTGCTAAACTATTATTTTTTTGACCAACAATCTTTGATAGAAGAGGTCAGCAGCAAACAATTATACAGACCTTCCAAAACAGGAAGAAGTGCTTTTTAGGTTGTTGTTAGGAGTATCAAAGTGATACTTCTACAGGCAGAAATCAACAAATACATTGTAGAAACAGTTTGAAGATTAACTTCACAGAAGTTGAAAAGAAGAACGAGAAAAAAGAAAGTCCAGGCAAACAATTTGCCCCCCTGCTTGACAGTACTGATGACACAGTACTACTCTGTTAACGCTGTCACTGAGATAGTGGTCTAAGAGATAAATAATAATAGTTATTATTATAGTAAGTCCCCATTTTATAGATAAAGGAACTGAGACTTAGAGAGATTAATTTGCTTAGAAACAAATAGTTATAGCAATAATAGTAGCAGTGATATCTGATTCAGGAACCATAATAACATGTATGACATAAACTAATGTTGAAATAACATCAGTTTGTACATTTTGTTACCATTTGTGCAAAATTAAGAAAAATTCTTGATGAAGATTTTTAAGTATTTACATACGCTGCTTCAAAATCTGAGATGATGGAGATGTCCTTTTTTCTTGATTTGTTTCACCTGTTAAACAATTAATTCTGGTCTACGTGACTTGGAAAATAGGTAACATCTTTCAATCTCCGATTATGGGTGTAATTTCCAGCCTTTTAAATATGTTAAGAGAATGAACAGTAACCTGTTTACTGTTGTTATCACATTGAACTACACTAGTTGTAAAATAATGAAATAAGCTTGTAGCCTAGCAAAAATAAAGTAAGCATGAACTGTCCAAATGATATGACTTTTCCCAAGGTCTAGCTGCAACGTACTACAAGCTATTTCTCTATCATGAAATTCCATTCTAATCTTCCCTGAGACACGGAAATGGAGGAGGGCTTACGGTGGGGAATGAGAATTACCCTGTGACTTCCATCTGCTCACCCGTCTTAACCTAACTTTTCACTATTTCTTCTCTAGTCTTTCCTCCTGAGTTTGATGAATTGGGTGGAGCAGGGAAAGATGAGTACAAGGATTCAAAATAGAAAGGATCAGGGAAAAATTTGTATCTACACAAATGTGCATCAAGTTTGCAAAACCAGGAAAAGATCTTGCCTCCTGTTCACAGGAGCCTTTACTTTAACCCCTAAGAGATAAAACAGGTAAAATAAAGCCAAAAACATAGCATTAATAAGAAAACATGGTCAGATGATCTTATTTAATTTTGAGACAGGGATGCTAGTCATGAAATAAGACTCAGAGAGAGGCTGGATGTAGCTAACTGTTAACATTTTCTAGACATAATTTGATTATTTACGCTCATTTCCTCCTGTCTCAGGACATAAATGGCACAGACCTTTCCTCTGTTTTGCATAGACTGTTGTTTGCTCCTCTCTTCATAGACGTGCTCTTTGTGGAATGTGCGTTCAGTGGTGCTGGCAACCTAACTGTCCCCAGCTGATGATTTCTCTGGTAGTAATGTCTCCAGTCGCAGCGGGAGGGGGAGGTGTGGCCAGGGCAGCGCTGCGGGAGCCCAAACCAGTGCAGGACTGGAAAGGGGAAGGAAGGGAAGAAACACTGCAGCCTGGGTCTCCTCTGCCTCTTGCTGTCCTCCAGAGCCTCCCTCCATCGCCTCTTGTGGCGGATTCCAAAGAGGAAGAGGAAGCTGTGGGCAACAAAGCCTGGGAAAGGCACTTCTCTGCCATCTTGTCCTGGGCAGGACATGGGTGTAAGTCTGAAGGGAGCAGGCCAGCAGCTAGCTGAGCCAGCGACCACAGCAGCACCAAGTGAGACTAGTTTTGCAAAACTGCAATGGCCAGTAAGCTGAAAGATGGACAAAGGGTTGCCACCCACAGTATCCAGTCTATCATGATTCATTTGCAGGCTTCTGCAGTCTGCTTTTTTTTTTTTAAGGTATACTTTTTGGTGAGGAAGATTGGCCCTGAGCTAACATTTGTTGCCAATCTTCCTTCTTTTTTTTCCCCCCAAAGCCCCAGTACCTCAGTACCTAGTTGTATATCCTAGTTGTAAGTCATTCTAGTTCTTCTGTGTGGGATGCCACCACAGCATGACCTGATGAGCGATGTGTAGGTCTGGGTGCAGGATCTGAACCAGTGAACCCCGGGCCGCCAGAGTGGAGCACAAGAACTTAACCACTATGCCACCAGACTGGCCCCTGCAGTCTACTTTTATTGTGCCATTCTTTACGATGAATACATTGTCCTCTTTGGTTTCTTATATGTTTAAATCTTATTTTTGTGATTTCTCTTTAGCATTCGTAATCTCTAACTAAACAAAACGAAAAAATTCAAAAGACCACCTACGAAAAGATACCAATACAGTGGCAGATACATATATGTAAATCTTTAAAACAAATGCTTGCATAAATGACACTCTGCTTTGTATTCACCCTTTCTCACTGAAATACTTGTTTAAATGTATCTAGATTTACAATTAGGTAAAAAAAAAAAGTCTGTCCTCTAAACTCATCATTACTGCATTGTGATTAAAAGTTATCTTTTATTTTTTGGATTTTTGCATAATAACAAATTATCTAAAATCCCAGCTGGGAGCTTTTCTCATCTGGATTCATTAAAGAGACTGTAAGTGAAAGCAAGTGCATAAACACAGAAATGATTTCCGTACGATTTTCTCCAAAATAAATAAATCCCAGACAATGTTTTGCCTTCGTCTCCTTTTGCCATGAAAGATCAGTCAGTTCTAGTGCGTTAGGGAGGAAACGGTTTTTTTAACTGCATAGTGATTGAGGACACAGATAGTCTACCGAGCTTTCATGTATTCTCTTAGAAGTGACATTCAAAAGGAATATTGAAGATAGAAGTTTTCCTCGGTTCTCAGTTATTTCCTTGCTGGTCAAATCTAAAGTCTCCCAAGACTTCCTTTTCCTTTAACTTTTTATTAAAAAAGAGACTTGAGAAGTTCCAAAGAAAGTCTAACTCCTCTGGCCAGGCTTCAGAAGTCTTCCCTCGTCACCCCAGTTACTAGTACAGTTCACTTCTTCCTAGATTAAACATAACAAAAGGGAATTCCCAGTACCGGTCCTCTCATAGGCTCCGTTTGCCTCAATTTTCTGCACCTGTGAATCTGTCTTTGATCTGCCTCTTCACCCTGATCTGTGTGTATACTACTGCATTGTTGATGATTTTCTTTTTGGTTCTTTTTTCCCTCAGTACACAAATATAAATTCCAGTTATCAGGTTAAGGTCAAATGTTCTGCTTCTCGGTGCTGGTTGGAGAGCACATAGTGGAAAAATCACAAAGGTGTATCTCTCACCTGCCTTGAAGGCCACTTTGTTGCTGTTTTCTGATGTTGTGTGCCCAGATCACGTCTGTGAGCATGGGAATTTTAAGATTAAGTAAAAATCAGAACACTGGGGGAAATAAATTTGTGTTTAATTGGTGCCTGGAAATGATGCTTGGAATCTTTGAATTTAAAGGATCGTGAATGATCAAGAGGGCAATTCATCCAGTCCTAGTCCAGTTTTGCAAGTTCATATTCCCCACTTTCTTGGCAGTGCTCACAGCAGACCCAAGGCACTGCCTCACAGTCTTTTCTCCTCGGCTGTGCTCTTTGACTGTGCTCAGACCCGCAAGGTTTTGCTTGATGGTTCTCTTTTTCTGCCAAAGTTTTCTTACTTGTAAGAACTGGTCACATCACAGCCGTTTGGAATAATACGCACATTCATTCTTGTTTGTTTTGTTTTTTTTAATAGACTTTATTTTTTAAATTTGTTGTAGGTTGACAGCAAAACAGCAGAAAGTACCAAGATTTCCCACATACTCCCTGCCCCTACACATGCATAGCCTCTCCCAGAATCCACATCCCCCACCAGAGAGGTACATTTGTTATAATTGATGAACCTACGTTGACACATCATAATCACCCAGAGTCCATAGTTTACATTAGGATTCACTCTTGGTGGCATACATTGTGTGGGTTGGACAAAAGCATAATGACATATATCCATCATTATAATATCATACAGGGTATTTTCACTGCCCTAAAAGTCCTCTGTACTCCACCTATTCATCCCTTCTTCCCCCTAACTTCCGGCACTGACCTTTCTACTGTCTCCAAAGTTTTGCCTTCTTCAGGATGTCATATAGTTGGAATCATTTAGTATGCAGCCTTTTCAGATTAACTTCTTTCACTTGGTAATATGCATTTAAGTTTCTTCCATGTCTCTTCATGGCTGGATAGCTCATTACTTTTTAGTGCTGAATAATATTCTATTGTCTGGATGTACCACAGTTTATCCCTTCACCTACTGAGGGACATATTGGTTGCTTCCAAATTTTGGCAATTAGGAATAAAGCTGCTACCAACATGTGCAGGTTTTTGAGTGGACATAAGTTTCACCTCCTTTGGACAAATACTGAGGAGCATGATTGCTGGATGGTATGACAAGAGTATGTTTAGTTTTGTAAGAAACTGCCAAACCGTCTTCTATAGTGGCTGTACCAATTTTGCATTCCCGCCAGTAATGAATGAGAGTTCCTAAAGCTCCACATCCTCACCAGCAATTGGTGTTGTCAGTGTTCTGGATTTTGGCCATTCCCATAGGTATGTAGTGGTATCTCGTTGTTTTAACATTCTTGTTTTTTAATCATATCTGGGAAATGAAAACTGCCAAGACATTTTGTAACAAGCTTATAGCAAGCTTTATTCTGGTAGTGGGAGGAATATTATGTTTTATTTTTTACTTGCCTTCTCTCTCTTCTTGGATTTGTTACATCATTTATGATTAGAGTCACTGTTTTCGTATATTTGCAATTATAACTCCCATTAAGTGTTTCTTCTGTATATAGATTTCTATTTGAGTATCATTCTTGGCTTTTAAGATTCTCAAAAAGTCTTGACATGCTAAAGCTCTTAGTTTTTTCTATTATTTTCTATTATGTTTTCTTGTTAAGTATCAATAATAGCTTTTTGTTCTTACCTCTTACATTTAATGAAACAGCATTCACTCTATTTATGAAACACACAGAAATAAATACTAGTAAAGAAGCTGAGGGAGGCCCTACTTACAGTGATGTACAAGTATGGATCTTATATGCATGTGCTATATGTACTTCAAATGTTTTAAGCCACTTTTAAGATAATTTTGTTAGTATGTCATGTTGATGAAGTATCTATTTTTGTAGACGGTAGCTGACCGTTTATGGTAACGGTAAACTTATACACAGATGATTTGAGCAACCTGGCCCAGGGTTCATGAGATCTTGATCAGTCTGAGATGGTGGACACTGGCACCTGGTTATTCCAAATCCTCAAACTTGTGCCCATGCAGACTGTCTTTTAGATAAGAAAATCAGTATATGGGGAAGTGACTGAGGGCTAATAAATAAGCTACATCTACTATCAAATAAATTCCATCTTCCACAATGAATTCTTTCAACAACTGGGGGAGTGTCAATTCGCTGGTAGCACCTGGAGTCAGAGGAATCTGTGTGGGTCACATTTGCCGTGTCATTGCTGGGGTCTGTGTGTGACACCTGATGTGGGTTTCTCCACTGTCATTTCTAACTCATGACAGCCATATTCCTCACAGTATACTGGGAAAATGAATAAAATGTCTTCTAAAAAGTGCTTTTGGATCTTTAAATGAAAGGGATTATGTAAGTACAGGTGATATATTACTCTGTTTCCAAACAGAAAAGATTAATTTACCTGGCTCTTTTTTTCCTTTGAAATTACCCACCGAGCAGTGAATAGGCCTCAGTGAATAATTATTTTAAGCTTGTGATTCTTGACTGAATACTATCAAAAGGCAGTGGTCTTTTATTTAACACACCTGGTGTGATATTTGATATAAGAGCATTTTCAAAACGGAAAACAGTAAAATGGGAATTATTTTAAGCACAGTGTGCTATTAATATTTAGTGTGGTCTAACAAAGATTAAGATAACCCACTTTTCTTATTGTTTTACTCTATAGCTTTTTATTTTTCAAAATTCATGGCTCTAAATTATAGGCAATGTTTCAAACAATACTTTCCCAGCATAAATTTGGAAATGCTCTATTTATAAAGGGTTCCCAAACAGATTTTTTTTTAATAAAAATCTAGTTCTCATACTATGGGTTCTTTTCCAAACACAAAGGAGTTTTTCAAGCACTAAGTGAAAAATATATCCTTTAGTTGTTTTTTTCATGTTTTGTATCCTTGCTATGGATGAAAATCTTAATTGAAGTTGACAGTAATGAAAAGAAGAAATTAAATCTTGTGCTCAGTTGTTACTAAAACACACAACCATGAGTATACATAAGGGAAGATGTGGCTCACTGATTAATGGAGGGCTGATAAGAAGCGATGATGACATCAGGGAAATGGAACATTCCCAACTGTTAGGGCCCAGTGTCTGTGATGTTCCCTATTGATTTGTACTGACATCACAAGTATGTGCTTGTGTTCAACTCAGAGAAATCTCATGGTGATACTGAAGAGAGAATTTACTTGTTAATATTTAACAACTACAGACTGCTTTTGATAAAATTACCAGACATTAAACTCAAAATTTAAATCAGATGAGTGAACTTTGGACTCATTAATATTGAGTATATTTTTAACCAAGTGGCTGATACAGTAAATCAGTCAGTGACAAGAAACAGCCAAGGACACTGAACTCATCAGTATCTTCCTGAACAAGTGCTAGCAAACTTTTGTGTCTTGTACATCACTCTAGACACGGCTGAAAGTATTGTCTGTTCCAGCCCTGGTTTTATTTTTTCAGCTTAGTTTGAAGTCTTGATGGAAGCATTAAGTAAAGAAAATCTATACCATTAAATAACTTTTTAATGTGTGAGATTTTTTTTCTTTAATTTAACCATTTAATGCTGCCAAATATAGGTGTCATTTTAGTGTAGTACAATTTAAATACAATATAACTTAGTATGAACTATAAGCATCTGCGATATACTTCACTAAATCATCAGACAGTAAATCTTCTTAAATTTATTTAAAAATATATAGTTCTCTGGAAGTACTCTAAATTATAAATCTGGAGAAGAGCATGGTTGTTTTTTTTACTTTTAGAAAAAACTTTCATTGTTCCAATAACATGATATTAATAAAAACTCCTAAATTAAAACAACTGGGTGATGTCTTAATTTACATGCAAAGTGATTCCTTTGTTTATTGTTTTCTCAAATGTTTTTTAAGGACTTGCTATACAAATTATTAAAAATTATAGCATTTTTTATTCTGCTTAAGTCACATAACGCATTACTTATTACAATAAAATTTAAACAATTCAACCTTTATCACTATTATAAATATGCTCATATTGTCGTTTTATCACTGGATAGAGTTTTATCTCTGGATAGAGTGTGACCTGATTACCACTGTAGACAGACTTGTGAATTCCATAGAGTTAGTGCCCCCTTTTTAACCCTTGGGATGGATGAAAGAGATAATTTATTACTCCTGTGCCTTTTTGCTATGTATCTTTTGATGAGAATGGAGATATATACCATAATTCTCTTTGTCTATCTATCAGTTTTATTTCATGAGAAAAAAATACTGGGAAAGATTAGGAAAATATAGTAAAATTTAGCGAAAGTGAATAATCTGCTCCTAGATTAGGAAATACCTCAAGGACATGTAAAGGGCCTTCCGGTCACAGTCTGCAAGAGACAGTTGAAGATGAAGAGCTTTGTAACGGCATTGCCAGCCCTTTTAGTATAAAAAAATAAAATAAAAAGGGTTCTGCCTCTGTCCTTTAGGGAAAATTGAGAGCACAGGGAATGCATGCCTGTCCATATTGATGTCAAGGAGATTTACAAGAGAAAGAGCAAGTCATCTGGGGCAGCGGCATGGATCATACACAGCGCATTTATAGGTCTCCTTTGAGCAAGAAAGCCTCTACTCCTTCTCTTAAATAATCGCTATGAAAAAGTTAAAGAAAACCACCACCACTAAATATAAATTCTCTATTTTTAACATTTAAAAGAACTGTAACCTTCAGCATGTATAGTTTTGTTTTTGTTTTTTTTTTAATTGCAGTAACATTGGATTATAACATTATATAACTTTCAGATGTACTTCGTAATAAAATAAAAGATTACATGTTCCCCACCCAAAAACTAATTATAGTCCATAGTCTGTCACCACACATGTGAGCCTAATCCCCCCTTCAGTATGTATAGTTTTAATTGTTAGTTCTAACAATTTGTTTTATCTTACAATTATTTATTTATAATCAAATACTATGGTGCCTGTTAAGTGGAAACCACTTTTTGACTCTCAGAGTGCTTTCCAAAGATATTGTCAATATAGAAATTTATCTACTCTGTTCAAAATATGCAACCAGGTAAGCATTTGTTTTCATTTGTTTGTTGGTAATTAGAAATCTTGGAGTCGAAAATGTGACAGAGGAGGTAGATTAGATGAAATTAAGTATTTTAACTCAAAAGATTCAAAGGAGAAATTAATAGTCACTGTTAACAGTTGGGATTCTTGCCTGCATGCCTAGACGTCTGGATTCCAACGCTCTAGTTTGTGACTGTGATTTAGTGTGGCTGGGGGAACTCTTGCAAAGTTATGCCCGGAATGGCCGTACGCAGGCTGCTGCTACGTGTGAGTATCCCAGAAGGCTCCAGGGATGCTCAGTAGCTTCAGTAACAGTAGAGGAATTCAACTGTGGTATGTAATTTTCTGTGTGCGTACAAAAGCGAAAAGTCTGTTTGTCCTCTTTTTATAAAGGCTTATTGTGTGATGTTGAGTTTGGAAGAATATATTATCAGAAAATGTTTTTAAGGTATTTGGTTAAAAGTATAATCAATTTCCCTTTCATTATCTGCATTTTTACTTAAGGAAGTTATTATCATCATAAATTGTTAAAGCTGGGAGAGTCTTTGAGGATCATTTAATCCAATTTCCATAATTTCAAAGGAGAAATACTGAGGAAAATTATTTTTCAACAAGGTCACAGGACACTGTGACTAGCATTAAAGTCTCCGCTTATACCTCAGTATCACTTAGTGTTAGTAATCAATGATTTAGATTTCTCAACTTTAGATGAAATAATTGCTAATATTCACCACTAGGAAAAACACTCAACGAATCTACTAAATGTTTTTTCTCACATAAAATAAGGCCACAAGTATCACTCAAGTAATGAAAACCTATTTTAATATATCTTTACATATTTTAAAATAATACAAACGTTTGATTTATCAAGCATATATTCATATTCTGACAAAGCTATCAGATATCCTTATAGTGAGTATGTCCTCTTAGGATACTATTCAATTCTCTTAAAGCTTTTAATATAAATAAGAGAATATTTATCTACTTATTTATCTAATTTATCTATTCCTATATATAACCTTAAATATGAATATATGAATATAAAGACATATGTACATATATGTGTGTGTGTCTGTATGCATGCACATGTGTATGTGCATGTATGATAATTGGGCTCCTTGGAAACTTACTCAGATGATAGTTTAGCAGAAATTTGCTTTCTAATGCCCCATTCACGGACAAGCCAGCATTTGAATTTCTCTAAAGAGGTAATTTGAAAAATTATATTAATATAATTCAATTCCATCCAGATTGAGAAGAAAAATGACTTGTTGGTCTCTATTTCCAAGTAAGTCTCAAATTTGTCAGTTTCTTCCACATTTACTACCAACTTCTACTTTAGGCACAATCGAGTTTTGCCTGGAATATATTACATCCTAACTGATGTCCCAGCTTTCATTTTTCTCTCTCTCCAATCTATTATATTTGGGAGCTCTTTCAAAGACACCTATCTGATTACATCATTCTTCTGCTCTAACCCTTTTATAGCTTTCCCTGCCTTAAAATAAAATGCAAGTGTATCATAACATATTTCGTGTCCTTCACATGGTCAACACTTCCTATACGTTGCAGCCTTGGGCTACCCATTCCAACCCCAGTTCATTCTACTCTTCCCTTTACTCATGGTATTTAGCCATCCCCATGTTCTTTCAGTTCCTAGAAGTTCTTAAGCTTTTTCTGACTCAAGGATTGTCAACATGCTGTTTTCTCTGCCTCCAACATTCTTCTTGCATCTCTTCTTTTAATAGCCCTCTTCTTAAATATTTATTTGGAAAAACTTTATTAATCTCCCTCCCTACCCACCTCCTCACTACCACACATACACTGAACATCATTAACTTTTCATCTTTGCATTTGTCACAATTTGTAATTATCCATTGTTGTGTTTGTTTAATTTCATTTGCTTCAATGAAACTATAATCCCATAAGTACAGAGACTTTGTTTTGATCACTGCTTCATTACTAGTCTTAGCATCATGCCTGACACACTGTAAATGTTGAGTCATTTTTTAAAATAAATACATAAATGAACAAAACTATTTTTCTAAATAGGGGAAAGCCAAGATGTTGATTATAAGGAATTTTAAGGAAGTGGATAAGATTACTAAAGATCTATGTAATTTTCTCCAGATGTGTTAGTTATGGTAACTTGTTAATGATTGGAAATCTCAAATGATGCAAATACAAGAAGAAGAGTTTTGTCATTTAGAAAGGTTTAAAGAGAATTATGTGAAATTTGCTATAGAAAAGTGAAATTCCGTTTTGTGTGTTCTTCTCTATAATTTAAATTCAATAATATTGTCTGATGTATTAAAAATCAATCACTCCACTTCCTTGTTAAAATAATTTAAATGTTTCCATGTTTTACCTCTCTATTATTATTTGAGAATGAGATCATTCATTCATAGTGATAAGTAATTTTGCTCAACCAGATTTGAGGTCTAGACATATGAATTCTTATAAATTGTGTGAAGTGGGTAGTTAGATGACTATTTGTCTAGGGAGAGTGCCTGCAAAATTGCAAACTCAATACAAACTTGGTTTGAAATATCGACCCATAAAATCAAACTCCTTCCATAAATATGGTTGTATTGAACTATTAGAAATAAAAGCACCAGGACATTTACTTAATTTAATTCATTGGAGATTCTTTTCGGCAGTGATTCTTTCAAATATAAGTCTAATGTCTAAACTGGTACATGTATCACTGGCTAAATGCATTTCGATGTGTAAAACTTTAACATAGAAAGAAATTGAAATTATCTATAACTCTTTCTCAGCAGTATCTTAGAATGCTATAATTTTGTATCTTTAAAAAATATACTAATAATTCTTTTGTTCCAGAGAGTCCTCGAATTACTTTTGAGCCCCAAGACGTAGAGGTAACGTCAGGGAATACTGTCTACTTCACTTGCTGGGCTGAAGGAAACCCTAAACCTCAGATTATTTGGATACATAACAAGTAAATACTGAGCATGGGCATGTGTTGCTATTCTCTTTCCGATTTCAGTAATCCTTTTCTCTTACTTCAGCTCATTTATCTAGAGATGGAATTTTTTAAATTATGAAAATTTCTTGGAGATAAACATTTCTTTAACTCTTACTTTTTGACATACCCAAGGAATCTAGAGGACTTAAAAATTGTATATTTCGGGACATCAATGATTGTGCAAGTAACTAAAAGAATTTTATATTATTTTTAGAAGGAAATTTTTGGATTAATAACAAACTAGTATGTTTTAAAATCTGAATATAATTTGATATAACTCCATCTTCATTATTTTAGGTTCAAACTGATATTTCATATTTGATGTTGCAACTTTCATATAGTAAATCAGTATATGATTATGTAAGTGAATTGGCAATAAAGAATATGCAACATTATTTAAAATACCAGTCATTTATTTTATTCTCATTGTACTATTTGATAAAATACAGAATCTATGAGTCTAAAAGCCTGTGAATGTAAAATTAAATAATAATTACAAAGGTTTAAAAAGTTAAAATAAAAGAGCTGAAAAAGGAATGGGACAGTAACATAAAATAGATATATAAAATGAATTATATACTTGATATAATTCAATGATAGTACTTGGACAATTATACTATCATTAATTACATGATTGTTAACTAGCATGGTTTGCATGTCTCTTCCATTCTTGTGTAAAATTTCATTGATTTTCTCCTGTTATGTGTATAATCAACTCTGAATTTTTACCCTTTTATTTATAAAATATTCTAAGAGATATAATAAATAGTTGATGTGCTTTTTGTATATAATTTGGATTTCTAGTGGTAGTCAGAAACTCAGACATGCTTGTAAAATACATTTTTGATTCTTGCAGAAAACTTATAAGTGTAGGTTAAAAATAGCTTGGAAAGAAGGCAATTATGAATACTATTAAATTTGGAATCTAGCCCAGGAGAAAGACTTCAATTGATAGAATACTCCAATTTATTTGCATCTGGAGAATGTTCAAGGGTACTTGAGAAACAGAAATCGCTGCTTATAATGTCTTAAAACTGCTTACTCTGCCTTCTGAAAGTTTAAATGCAGTCATTATGCGTTCAAGGTTATAAAGATACTGACAAGTATTTAGAAAGGGACAAGTGAAAAATCATATTGCCTGATGGAACTTATGACATAGAGGTTTTAAATATAGTGACTAAAGAAGCTAAGATGTACTTAAAAGAAAACAAAGAAATTGAAAAAGAAACAATAAAATGAAGGAAAGATGAAGTATAGGTGGAAATGTCTGTTAAAATATTAACCATTTCTTATGGAAAAATTAAAGATGAAAGGGAAGAATTTATGCCACGAAATGTTTAACATTAACAAGTCTTAACTTGCTGATTATTTGTGGTTGAGTTTTTTTTATGGAAAGATAACATATACACTGAAAGTGTGTGAAACAAAGTATAGTATAGCAAATAATTTGAAATAAACATCCATTTCCATAAATCAGGCCAAGAAAAAAATGTTGTCAATTCATTAGGAGCTACCTAGCTGTCCCTTTTCTCCTCCTCTGGAAATAACCTCTATCCTGACTTAGGGTCCTTAGAGGAATTGGTTAAGCACTGATTAGACACAAGCAAAAGTAGGATTAGAGAATTAGAAGGTAGATTTGTTGGAGTGAAGTAGACTTCAGACTGGTTAAGATACATGGAGTCTATAATGCAAAGGTCCAGGACATATCCAGTATGAGAGGTTAGAAATTAAAAGCTGGAGGTGATAAAAAGTTTGGAGAGATAACAACTAGGAATTTTCTAGAAATGAAAAAAATTATGAGATTTCAGATTAAGAATTGTATTGATTCCCAAACAGGTTTGAAAAAGAAATCTATACCTGGTACATTATGATTTCAACATTGAAAGTCAGAGATAAAAATCTTCATTTCTAGCTAATTTTCCAATTGCTTTCAAATGTATAACAATTAAAATGACAATGTTATATCAGCTAGAAGGTAATGAACTATATTTGTGATATTAAGGAAACAAATTTGGTTTTCTGTGATTTTGTATCCAGCTAAATTATCTGACATCTGGTAACTTTTGATATTTTGGGGTTCAAGGTTTTAGAACAAGTGTTTTGGGGGGTTTTTTGCCACATTTAGTCTAATTCTCTGTGTGTAATGCATATACATGTATCTTCCTTCTCCTTCTCCTCCTTCTTCTTTTTGTCTGAATTCTCTGTCACATGGAGGCTGGGACAAATGCTGTGTTGCTACTAGTCTGTCTTCTTACAAGACTTCATCCAGGAAGGAAGGGGCTGTGTCTGTCTATCAGTGTTCCAAGTATCTGACAAGGGGTAGATAACCCATTCATTATAAAAGGATATAACTCAGGAACAGCCAGATGGGAGAGCTACAGAGGGAAATTATGTGGGAAGGGGCACAGACCTTCCATGCTCTCTGAGCATGCTACTCTCCCTAAATTTCATCAACATGGAATCTCCTAGAACAATTTTTTTTTTGAGGAAGATTAGCCCTGAGCTAACTACTGCCAATTCTCCTCTTTTTGTTGAGGAAGACTGGCCCTGAGCTAACGTCCATGCCCATCTTCCTACAGTTTATATGCGGGATGCCTACCACAGCATGGCTTTTGCCAAGCAATGCCATGTCTGCACCTGGGATCTGACCTGGTGAACCCCAGGCCACTGAGAAGTGGAACGTGCGAACTTAACTGCTGCGCCACTGGGCCAGCCCCAACTTAGAACAAATTTTAAGGAAACTAAATTATCTTCAGAAAAGATGTGATACCATATTTGCTGGAATGTTCCTTTTCAAATAATCTTAGTTGAGTTCAATGTTAGATGATTTTAGAACTATGTTTAAAATAAATTGCTTAATATTAAACGAGACGTGAATTTGGGCACTTTAAAAAACATGTTTTCTGGGGCTGACCCCGTGGCCGAGTGGTTAAGTTTGCATGCTCTGCTGCAGGTGGCCCATTGTTTCGTTGGTTTGAATCCTGGGCGTGGACATGGCACTGCTCATCAAACCACGCTGAGGCAGCGTCCCACGTGCCACAACTAGAAGGACCCACAAGGAAGATTATATAACTATGTACCAGGGGGCTTTGGGGAGAAAAAGGAAAAAAATAAAATCTTTAAAAAAGAAAATAAAACATATTTTCTGATGTTCATTCCATGTAACTTACACTGAGCAGCTCTGGCAGTTATACTTACAGGAATATCCAGCACCTAGTTCGTCTTGTGCCTTGCATTGCTGTCCATTCAAAAGCAATGTTGTTTTTCGTGAAGTGAATCTCTTCAAAAATGACAGCTTGAAGTTCTCATTTGACTAATTGGTAGTTTTTCTTCAAATTAGCTTTTTCAATGGGTGAATAAGAAGGTATTCCTCTGTCTGTCCTGTCTTCTCTTCTGCTCCACTCTAAAAAACTAAATGTGAAACATGACCATTGTCTGCTTCTTTATCTTTTATGATAAAAAATTGCTAAATAAGGATGGTGATTCTCTATTTCTTTAACATGCTTTAGTTTTTACATATATGAGAATAGGCTACATTATTATTCTTCATTGTTGGCAATTTTGAAATTAGTAGACAAATGTTTACCTGGAATCCATTGACTTTGTTATAAAACAAACAAATTAAAAGGAGAGAAATGAGATTCTCTCAATGGACGTTTTCCTCTATTAAGGATGTTATTGGTGGAGGATATTTAGTAGGTGTTAAGTAAATGTTTATTGAGTGATGAATGATAGGGAGTTAGATTTCCTTTTTAGTGCCTAATACACTCATTAGCCCTAAGCATACTCCTGTGAACATCTATACTCCTCTTCACACATGATCATTAAATATTTTTAAGCGGGGAAAAAACCCTGACCAGAAAAAAAATTCTGTAAAAATTTCCAACTTATGTTTACGTGTCAGCAGCTTTGTATTTACTGCTAAAAATAACCCACATATGCACTCTTTTTATTGTGATTATCGATGTAATGCGATGGTACATGTCTGAACCTTCTGGATTACAGTCATCACTACTTGCACTCATTGGGTTTTCTATTTAAATTGATAAATGGCATTTTCCTAGTATCTCCAAAATGGTACACATCATTAAGAGAGCCTAATATCCAACAACTGGATGTTATCTGGGTAGGTGGGGCGTGCACATTTAGTGCTAAGTCATATAATTGTACTTGGCTTTGAGCTGTATTGGTTTGAATATGAATACTTCTTTTATACTTTAACAAAATATGAAAGTGTACTGAACAACTCACAGAAAAGAGGTGAAAAGATTACATATGGCTATCTGATGGTTCCTTTTGTTTCTTAAATAGGAATTCAGGGATGTAAAAATGTGCTGCAGTACCCTTCCTATAGGAGAGACTGCTTTAGTGTCTAAATTCACGCTGCCCTGGAAGGCAGGGCATTTAAACCTCTTTCCCTTCCATCATGTCTTGACTGGAAATCTGTGTTCAGGGTACAACCTCAGAAATGGGAAAAGACAACTTGGATTTAAATTCAAACAAACTTGGATAAAAAATTAACAAGTCAATATACATGAAAAATATTTATAAAATCCTATACTTTCAGTCTTGTTAAGATTTTAAAAATGATTTGGGTTAACTAATATGGATGGAAAACATACTTCCAGCCATTCATTGGACTTGCGAGATGATGCTCGACTTAATTTGTTTGCTGATGGGACACTCATGATCAGGAGCACTCAAGAGTCCGACCAAGGTGAATGTCAGTGTGTGGCCAGAAACGTGGCTGGGGAAGTCAAGATGCAGACTGCCATGCTCAGCTACTCCAGTCTTCCAGGTAAATTTTTTTTTCCTGATTGAACTTAATGTAAATGCATCAGTTTATCCAGTAGTTATTTGCACTAGAAAATGACTTTATATTGCTTCTTTAAATTATGTAATGAATAAAAGTGAAAAATTTGGCATTGTCTATCACTTCCTAATCTTCTTTTGGAGAAACTTGAATTTTTGTCTCTTTTTTTTTGAGGAAGATTAGCCCTGAGTTAACATCTGCCACCAATCCTCCTCTTTTTTTGCTGGGGAAGACCGGCCCTGAGCTAATATCCATGCCCATCTGCCTCTACTTTGTATATGGGACGCCTGCCACAGCATGGCTTGACAAGTGGTGTGTAGGTCCACACTCAGGATCCGAACAGGCGAACCGTGGGTGGCTGAAGCAGAATGTGTGAGCTTAACTGCCTGTGCCACCACGCAGGCTCCTGAATTTTTTTCTCTGCAAGGCTATTTTAATTTCCTGCCTTAGTTCTTTTCTGGTCACCATGGATGCTGTTCTGGGACTTTGCTATTCTCCTGTGAATTACCCATCCAGCTTCCTCAGAAGATGACCTAGCATCTTGAAGCTGAGGGAAATGGTGGCATCAAAGCAGGAATACCATCCTTTCTAACAATTCATTCAATTATTCATTCATAATTAATTTATTCAGCAAATATTCACTGAATGCCCGCTGAAATAGCTGTTGAAGATTGCATAGTTAGCAACCACACTCCTTTAACTTTCCAGGAGTGATAATTTCAATAGGTTATATAAACCAGACACAATAACTGTGACGAATTTTTATTAATACCTCTTTAAGATGATGGAAATAGTGAGACACCGTCCCTCATCTTACTGAGTCTATAGTCTGATAGGCGATAGCCATAATTCACCAAAATGACAAGTTTTGTGATGGGTAAGGAGAGGGGATAGAAGCATAAAAGACAGTTATGTGCTAGTAAATGCTTAAAAACTGGCTCTGAGGAGTGAAAAGGAAGCCCTGATTTGCAGCATTTGCCATTTTTCTGGGATATAAATAATCCCACCATGGGCAATTTCAAGTTACTGACATGGCACACTGAACATTTCCACCATGAAGACATAATCGATGTAAATAAGCTCAAGACTCTAGATAACAGTAAAATGTAAAATCATTAGAAGTGATGAATTTCAGAATTTATATTTGATATTAATGAGATTTATTTAGTTGTAAGTTTATATAATTTAATTTTTAGTAATGGCTATGCTTAACAACCAGCTTGCAAAATTCTGATCATTTGATAGCTGGTTCTCAAGACCCAGCTCCAGCACCCCTGACAGAGGAAGAGCCCTTGGGGCAGTCTTGGAAAGCTGTGTTCATTCAGTGACATCTAAGCAGAAAGCAAGGACAAGTAGGGGAAAGCCAGATAAATAGGGTGGAAACATTATTTTAGCAGAAATGGCAGTAAGGGAAGACAAAGCAGGGCACATTCAAGACATGGAAGTTCTTGATGCCTAGAGGATACACACGAAGAGCTGGGAGTTACATGAGATTTGGCGAGGCGGGAGGTAGAGTCAGGTCATTCGGGCTATTCATGACTGCACCTAAGAGTGATCAAAATTAGATGTTTTTTTTTTTTTACACTAAGATCTCTCCGGCAGCAGTTTGGAGAAGAAGCAGGAGGTTAGTGCAAGATGAAGAAGTTAGCAGGCTGTGGCAATGGTGCAGAAGAGAGTGGTCGCATGGGTAAGGTAGTGATCAACAGAATAGAGAAAATGGCACTGAATCAAGAGTTATTCCAGGATAAATATGCACCTAACTCTAATATAATGATTTCCAAAGTATATTGTATTATTACAGACTATATGTTTTGTCCTCTGTCCTCATAGTTAAAGCATGAGCATACGAGGAAAGGAATGTGTCTTGTGCATCTTTATATCTCTCCAATATGTAACATTTTACTAGCATACTTAAGACATTCAGTATTGTTAAAATTCAATCAAACCTTCACCATTGAATTAGATTAAATCAATTTATCTCAAGTCTTCAGGGTATGTTGGTCACAAGGTGGCTCCTGAAACCCAAACCATGCCTGAATTCCAGATAGCAAACAGAAGGAAGAGCAATGACTAGATAGTCTTTGCCCCTTTATTTGGGAAGGAAACTCTTCCCAATGACATCTGTCGACATCTCATTGGCAGAACCGTGTCACATGAACACCCTTAACTGCAGGGGAATTCAGAAAGGGGTTTTTTCAATGGGAACCTTTGAACATTTAGTCCCTAAAATAGGAGTAAGTGGGCACATAGCAGGGTCTATGATACAACATGGCATCAAAGCAAGCAGTTTTTTAAAAAAATTGTGTATTTATATCAAATCCAGATTTAATTTATTTTAGATTTAATTATTTCAGAATTTAATGGATGCATATAATTTTTTAGTACAAGGGCATTTTGAAATAACAATAATCTAAAACCCACAATGTAGAGTAAATAAACTTTCTTAACTGCTACTAGCTGTATTTTGTTTTGTTCCCTTCTAACCCTTAGCCAAGCCGAGTTTTGTAATCCAGCCCCAGGACACAGAGGTTTTAATTGGCACCAGCACAACTTTGGAATGTATGGCCTCTGGCCACCCACAGCCCCATATTACTTGGACCAGGGGCGATGGAGAGGCGCTGGATGGATCCAGGCACCTGGCTACTTCTGGAGGACTTTACTTGCAGAACATCACACTGCAGGATCATGGTCAATTTACCTGTCACGCCAACAATGATCAAGGCTCTGTTCAAGCTACAGCAAACATAATTGTACAAGGTATGGGAGCAGAAGGGCATGATTGAAATGCTCATGTTGCCACACTCAGGAAATTATTTTTCAAATTAAAAAATAATGTCATGTAACTCAATGGAGAGATATTTTTATTTGCCATTTATTTTTTGGCACAATAGAATTTTAAAAACTAATCTGCTGCACTTTAAAACTTGGATTTTTTTATCACTTCAATCTTTTTCTAAATGCCATAATCAACTATTAGCAAAAAAGGAGATGAAGTCATTAATCTGGCTGTAAACTGTCAAAACATATTTGTGCTTCAGAGTACTTCACGGGTAGAAGAAAGATAATCCAGCTATGAAAGTGAAAAGGCTGTGCCCTGGGTCCACAGTCACTTACCAAGCTGTCTACTCAACATAGCTTAGGAATACACTGGTGGCTCTTACAAGTTGCCTGGGCTGGGTAACAAAAGCAATAAGACTATTCTGAACACAATAGATAATTTATATTCACGAGCATGCAATCATGTTGGAAAGAACTTCCGTTTTTCTGCTATTCTTTTGTTCTTAGCCTGGGGCTGCCCCTTCCTTTCTGTTGTGTGTATGTATTGGGGGGGGTGTGCACTCAACATTCCTTGTGTGCTTAGAGGTTTATTAAACAGCAGAATATAAGTATTATTGGAGCAAAGTCAAAAGTCCTGTTCTAGCCAAATCGGTTTTTCAATAGATGACGAGAGTATAATAACTTACAATTATCCATTTTAAGGGTTTTCTGGAGCTATGGGCCTTATAATTTAGATAAGAAATTTTATAGTTTTGCTTAACATATTTGCATATGATGTTATCTATCAAAAAACCAGGTTCTCGGGAATACAGAACAAAAGCTGTTTAGAAATATGGAACTGACAAGCCCAGTTCAGTACTGGAGTTGGGACAAGTTTAGGCTAGTGAGTACCAGCTGCTGCAAGCAGTGGAATTGACCCATCAAGGCACAGTGCCCATCCATCCTAGGTTTCCAGCATTTAGTAAATGTTGTCTGAGTTGAGTTGTTTAGCATCAACTCCTTAAGTAGCAATAGATAGTAACTTCTTGTGTCTGTTGATATGTCTGAGGAAAAAATTGTTTTCCCTTAGAAATGTTAATATCATGAAAAACATTTTCTGTGCTCTAAAAAGAAGGTATAGGAATGAAAAGTTTTCTTGAAGCCTTTGGTAATTCCTGAGGGAAATTACTTTTAAAGGCCCAAACATCATTTTTACACTTTCAGTGTGTCGGGATTGAAAAATGCTTTCAAAAAAACAGTTTGGTTTAGTTTTGTTGCATTATTTTATAAGCATTTATTATGCATTTATATACATTATATATATTGAAATGTATACATATATATTTACTATGTAATGTCTGGTTGTAGAAGCCTAATGCCTCGTCACACATTTGCACTCCAGCAGTCTCCTCTGTTGCACATAGGCTCGTCTTTTGTTTCTCAGCTTCTTATATTTAGCTTCTGTTTTTCTATTTGTTTGTCTCCATCAGCTGATGATTAGCTAAACTCTCATAACATCTCTGGTCCTGTGCATTTCTCACACTACAACACGCTCACGAGTTCTTTCTGTGAGTTAGTTTGCACTGACCTTGCCTTCTGCTTTTCTTCTGTCCCCTGAAACTGTGTGCTATGTTACTTGCAGATCTATGTCAAGATTTTTAATTGGTCTTGAAATGGACCATTAATCATTCAGTTCATTTATAAAAGAAACTTCTTTTATTTGACTAGTGCATAAACTGAATATTTTGAGATGTATCCCTTTTGTGTCATCTTAACAGATGTTCCATCAATTTTCTTTAGTTCTCTTTGTGCCCATTTAAGCCAAGAGTACAGTTATCCACAGATTAATTTCCTTCCCTAGACTGGCTGAACGAATGATAAATAAAAAGGAAAAACAAGTAGCTTCAATGAAAGGCGTGAATCACAGTGTGGGGTACTTAAGTGAAAGGTCTATAGTCATCAACAAAATAAATAAAAATTCTTCCTTTGGATGAGGCATCATGATCGTGGATTTTGTAAAATCCACCAGAAGGGTGAGTTTTAATAAAATAGTAAAATACTTCATCTAAGCCCCTGCTGTTTCAGCATTGGAAGTAGGACTGATGGCCACTGTTCTACGTAGAAGATCCAGAAATGTCAACTCATCATTCTAGTCTAATTCCTCCCGCCCACACCACCTGCTTTTGTGATTTGGGTTTTCTCTCCATTAGATCAAAATTTCTTCATTGATCTAGCAAGTTAATCATTTTAGTATTAGGGGTAAATGTAAAATGATAATGTACTTATATTTTTCCTGTTTTTTGGTAGGATATGGAATCTTGGGAAATTTAAAGAACTTTTCTTTGAGAGCACATGAGATATAACAATGCTTTTCACCTCGACTTGGCTTATTGTTGGTTTTAGTTATTATTAAAAAGTTGAAATCAAATTTCCCAATATTGGTGTCTTGACTAAATGACTTGTCTTTACTATCAATTTTTATTATATAGCTCTTTTACTGTGTCATGGATTCCTTTTTTAATGTAGAGATATTTTTGTTCATTTCAAGCAACTCCTGGTAGTTTTAAGAGTTAGTGTAATGTTCCGGAAAGAACATCAGGCTGGGGGTTGAGTGACCTAGATTCTCACACTGCCATATATTAGCTCTGACTGAGAGTAATTCAATCCAGCCTCCCCCAGCCTGAGTTTCTTCATCTGTAGAACATGGAGGCTGGGACTGTGGGTTGTTTTCCAGGTCGACTTTACTGGAAGGCAAATAAGACAAGTATTTTGCAGGCATTCCTGAGGGCTTTCATGAATTTGGGTGACCTAATAATCTATCTACTAGCAGAGTTATTTATCCCAGTGCCTTACTTAGAATTGAAAACTTTTAAACACCTGTAATACTTGAATACAATATGAAATATGAAAAATACACTGCCAAATATTATTTATTTTAGCATGTTTCTTGTATTTGCAGATGGTGGGTGGGAGCACAGAGTAGCAAGAGTTGTGAAAAGATCTCACTTCAAAGAGAAGTGATTTGTCAGGTCATCTCAGAAAGTTGTTTCTAAATTGTCATCACTTAGGTATTGTTAAAGATCGTTGTGCCCTTGCCACATTGGTTTATTTTTCATATTAATGAGAGTCATGAACAGACACTATAACTGTATATCAGCACTAGCTATTCATTATTCAAGCAAAGTCAACCGTCAAAGATCTGAATATTTGGAAATCTCTGGATTTTGACTTAACTGTGACTTTTCAAAGGCGTCATATCATGTATTGTGGGAACATTCATCTTAAGGAGCATAGTTGTTTTTTCTGAAATTAATACAGAAACATTTAAAATTTTATTCTGTATGTGAAAGTTTAGAGAAAATGATTTTGTTAATGATTCAGATATGATTTGTAGTCTTAAATGTCTCTAGTACAGCCAATAAATGACACCTATGAGGATTTAATCATATGAAGCCTCTCTCATAAGATATTGAAAAAATTCTTTTTTATTGACTACTGCTTTTCTGCTTTGCAAACCAGATATGCATGTTTCTGGTTTCCTTGCAAGCAGGCACAAACATACACAAGCACTTACACGCTCTTAATATCCTTCACCATAAATAATTGGAAACAAATTCTAACTACACAAGATATTTAAATATATTTCCTTTTCTCTCTTACTAAAACTTATAAAATAATTTTCAATTTTGGTGTAATTTTTCATTCTCCTTAGCTCCTCCACAATTTACAATGAGCCCAAAGAATCAAGTGGTGCTAGAAGGACATGCTGTAGAATTTCTTTGTGAAGCAGAAGGCAACCCACCTCCAGGAATTGTCTGGACAAAAGCAGGTATTACCATATCTACAACCAATTGTGTGAAGAAATAAATATCTTCTTTTTAGTGGAGTGTAAAACGTAGTTTAAACTAATTATCATAGGTATATCATGGACATGAAACCATCACCCAGAAAATAATCTTTGATTTAAGTGTGTCATCATAATTTCTGTGATGGTTTAAGTTTCATCATTTGAAAGTGTGGCCTTCTTTACATCATCCTCTCTGAAACTCAGTTTCCTGATTTTTAAAAGACAATTACTGGACAGTTCAGTGATTTGAAACATTTTTTAAAAGTGGCAAAATTCTCTTTTAGTAAAAAATGAAATTGTAAATGAAATGGAATCATAAGGGAAGCTCTAACATTAAATGGATAAAAGAGAGCTGCTGTCACTGACGTGTGGGTAGAGTGTGGGGCCTGGCAGGTGGGGGCCACCTTCCCCACCAGAGGGCCCGGGCACTTCCAGGGAACTTTACAGAACAAGGTTGACAGTCTATGAGATGAGAACTTGTCTAAGATTTCTCTGGGCTTGGAATTCCTAACTTCTACATTAGTTTAGGTATCAGCTTAAATTCTAAATACATCAACATTTGTGAATTTCTCTTGACTAAAGTTTTTGCTCTGGTCTTTACAAGATTAGAGTGGGTAGGAAGTGGACTTCGGAGCCAGGAAGCTGAGAGTCACATTCCCACAACCTTGTTTATTAGTTGTAGACCTTGATCAAGCTATTTAACAGCTTTTACCAGTCTCCTCATTTTAATGCTGCGGGTGGTGATGTCTCCTACACCATAGGGTGGTTGTGGGGACTGATTTGAATGTATTTATACTCATATACATTTAAAACAGGGGCTGGCACGTAAGTGTACATACTCAATAAAGGTTAGCTATTATTTTTTCCTTCTATAACAAGACATTTAATACGGCACAGATTTTCACTGAAATACTTAAGAATGACAACTTATTTGCTTGTTAGTAACTACAGAGAGTGTAGGCTGAGTATAAGCTCAGAGGTAAGAAGTACAATGATGGCCTGAGGTGTGGCTGTCAGGATTATCAGTGTCACAAAAATCTGCATTCTTGATATGCTATCTCAGCCCTTTAAATGTTATAAATCTATAATGTTTTTATGTTCCAAATATTGCATACATGATTTAAACAAGTGTTATGGAGGTATCTGAAAGTTTCATTTAGTAATCATTATGCAGATAATTTAGGAATAAAAACTTTTTCAGTATAAACAAATGCAAAAGTAATTTCTCTCCTAGCCAAATTTTGCCTTTTTGTCCTACATTGAGTAAGGGATTAGGGGGATAATGCTACAGAAGAAGATGTGGGTAAGCCTATGTAATGCCTCATATGCCTTCTTAGGAATTTTAGTTTTTATTCTAAGAGTAATAGGAGCCACTGAAAGCAAGAGTGAGATTGTGAGTAGTCTGGTTTTGAAATTTGCCCTTTAACTGGGATAAGTAAAACTGAGGGGCCTGTCGGTGTCGCAATCCAATGTACACATCAGGATAGATGCGGAGAGGGCTGATGGCCACTCTGAGTTTATTATAACCAGCGTTTCAATATATACATAGCTTACATCTGTTAAACATACACAGGTGTTCTGGATGAAGTAATTAGCGAATGCCAAAAATTCTTAGTGATTTCTCCAGGAGCCCTCCCTTGGCCTCTTTTTTGATATTATCATGTTGTTGCTGTGCTCCCATATTTTTATCTCAGAGCAGGCAAGGTCTCTTAGGCAACGGTCCCTCTTGCTCCCGATATCGATATCGTTTCTCCATCTGTGCCCCGGGCGGCCGCCGCCTGGCTTAGGTTGCCCCCCCAGGGGGTCTTACCCGTCATTGGCTAACCGGCCTTCTCACCTCCGGGTCACAGTTTGTTGGCAAGCTTTTTCCAGTGATTATTAACCCTTCCTACGTCAGGGGCGGCTACAGGGCCAACATGAAGGTGGGGGAATTTGTTAGGAGGCCGAGCTGTTCTCCTGTTGGGGATCAGTCAAGAGGGTTTCCTGGATGCAATGTTAGGGAGAAGCCATCACAGTATTTATTCCCTGACACCAAGGACTTCCTGAAAGACAGTTTCCAACCTCTACCCAGGACAATTATACATTTCTAGCTTTCACATTTTTGAGCCATACACATGCAATACAAAGTACTTTCTTTCCCTCTTTGCAGGAGGGCGGCTCCCTCAGGAAGGTCAGCATACAGTTCTCTCCTCGGGCACTTTGAGAATTGACAATGTAGTGCATCATGATCAAGGCCAATATGACTGTCAAGCAGTCAGTCCATTGGGAGTGAAAAAAGTGTCTGTCCAGCTGACTATAAAATCCAAAGGTAATGAGTGCTGTGATTGCGTTTGCACATCCTGAAGAGAATGTGTCTTTCTTTCCCCAGTTTCATTGAGAAATAATTGACATACATCACTGTATAAATTTGAAGTATACAGCAGGATGGTTTGATTTACATATATTGTAAAACAATTACCACAATACATTTAATTAACATCCATCATAACATGTAGACAGAATAAAAAGAAAAAAAATTTCTCCTTGTGATGAGAACTCTTAGGATTTACTCTCTTAACAACTTTCCTGTATATCATACAGCAGTGTTAGCGATAGTCATCCTGTTGTACAGTACCTCCCCAGTACTTATTCATCTTATAACTGGAAGTTTGTGCCTTTTGACCACCTTCCTCCAATTCTCCTCCCCACACCCTGCACCTCTGGTAACTACAAATCTGATCCCTTTTTCTATGAGTTTAGTGTGGGGTTTTGTTGTTGTTGTTGTTTTTAAGATTCTACATATTAGTAAGATCATACAGTATTTGTCTTTCTATGCCTGGCTTATTTCACTCAGCATAATGCCTTCAAGGTCCATCCATGTTGTTGCAAATGGTAGAATTTCCTCATTTTTTATGGCTGAATAATATTCCAGTGTGTGTGTTTTGTGTTTGTGTACCACATCTTCTTTATCCATTCACCTATGAGTGGTTACTTGCCTTGTTTCCAGGTCTTAGCCATTATAAATAATGCTGCTATGAACATGGGGTGCAGATATCTTTTTGAGTTAGTGCTTTTGTTTCCTTTGGATATATTCCCAGAAGTGAAATTGCTGGATCGTAAAATACTTAGGAATAAACTTAACGAAGGAGGTGAAAGATCTCTACTCTGAAAACTATAAGACACTGATGAAAGAAATCAAAGATACAAATAAATGGAAAGGTATCTTCTGTTCATGAATTAGAAGAACTAATATTGTTAAAATGTGACTACTACCAGAGCATCTGTAGATTCAATGCAATCTCTATCAAGATTTCAATGGTATTTTTTACAGAATAGAAAAAAACACTCCTAAAATTTATCTGGAACCACAAAAGACCCCAAATAGCCAAAGAATTCCTGAGAAAGAAGAATAAAGCAAGAAGCATCACACTTCCTGATTTCAAGATATAATATAAAGCTGTAGTAATTAAAAAAGTATGATACTGGCATAAAAACAGTCCAATGGAACAGAATCAAAAGCCCAGAAATAAACCCAAGCACATATGGTTAACTAACATTTGATGAGGGAGCCAAGAACACTCAATGGAGAAAAGACAGTCTCTTCCATAAATGGAACTGGGAAAATTGGATAATCACATGTAAAAGAATGAAACTTGACCCCTATCTTACACCACTTACAAAAATTAACTCAAAATGGATTAAAGACTTACATGTAAGATTTGAAACTGTGAAACTCCTAGAAGGAAACATAGCAAAAAAGCTTTTTGACGTGGGTCTTGGTAGTGATTTTTTGGAAATCATGCCTAAAGTATAAGCAATAAAATAAAAAATAAACAGTGGGACTACATTAAACTGAAAAGCCTCTGCACAGCAAAAGAAACCATCAACAAAGTGAAAAGATGACCTATGGAATGGGAAAAAAATCTTCAGACTTATGATGTCAAAGCAGTACTTTGGCATATCATAAATAGTAGTATTCTGGAATGAGGTAGTGTTATTTGTCCCTAGTTTATTGTTCACTGACATGTAAAAAAAGAGAAAACTCAAGGTTTAAATTTTTAAAGATAATTCCAACATAAGAATGAAAAATGCTTCTTATTGAATACTATTGAAATTTCTTAGTTCCTGGCTTATGTGGAAATGAAGGAACTTAATTACAGTATCTATAGAACCTAAATTACATTTTCAACACTGCTTTACATTTAAATATATTTTCCTAAGTTTCTCCACAAGTTTGCTATAATTTGTTTTGATGTGGTAAATCTGAATTCAGAGATAACACATATTTAGAAAAGAGCATATGAAAGTAGAAACAAACTACTGCCAGACACAGCAGTGTAGGTGTGAGAAGAAGCACCAGTAACGTTGAAGTGTTTCTGATGCTGGGACACACACGTGAGACTACCTTGAACCAAGGTCTGTGTCTGGTCTATTATCGATTCCACTCTCAGTGTATTTTAGAGATATCAAATGCTTGTTTTTTTCTGTGGAAGTTGAGGTTCTATGAAAGAAAAAAAGATGAGGGTGTGCAAATAGCAACTCAAAGGCAAGGGAAAACCTGAAACTACTGTTGTAGAAAGATGAAGGGATATGACAAGCCCTTAGAAACCTCCACTTCTTTGGCTCATTTTGTCTAAGAGGAAATGCTGAAAGGTGGTCTGCAAAATGTTTAGAGCTACTTTTGAACTGGATTTCAGCTAGCCAAAAAATCAGGAGGTTTTTACCTTAATATCTTTTTTAAAAGGAGGACATTTTTTTTTTAATTCCTTTTAACTATTTGTTTCTATGTCATTTCACTGGCCTGTCTCATGTTTACCCCTGATGTCCCTTTCTGTGTTTTCCTCCCAGAGATGCTTCTAACCTTTAGTTAGGCAATGGTTTTATTTTTTCCTCTAATATTTTGCTCAACTATATGAAAATATATTATAAATGGTAGATAAAACTGGTAATTTTATAGAAACATATAGTGGCCAGCCCCATAGCCGAGTGGTTAAGTTCGCACACTCTGCTTCAGTGGCCAAGAGTTTCACCAGTTTGGATCCTGGGCACAGACATGGCACCGCTCATCAAGCCATGCTGAGGCAGTGTCCCACATGGCACAACCAGAGATGCTCACAACTAGAATACACAACTATGTACTGGGGAAAAGAAGAAAAAAAAATAAGATTGGCAACAGATGTTAGGTGCTAATCTTAAAAAAAGAAAGAAAAAAGAAACATGTAGTATAGTTAATGAAAACTAATTCCAGAAGAGGTAGAAATCCAAACAGAATATAGCAGGGTAGCAAAAGAATTGCCAAAGATCAGAGCACTGCAGATACCCTGCTGTTACTCTCTGGCATGACTGTATAGATTGTTAATTACTCTGAATATTAAACTGTGAAAAAGCTAACCCAATAAAAGCATATAGTCAGGTGGTTTCCCAAAGAAAACCATCACATCTTTAAATAGCAAAGAATTCCAATGCTATTCAAATTGTTTCAGGGATTGGAAAGTAATGAACGCTATAAAATATTTTTAGTGAAACAAGAATAGTCTTGATAATGAAATCCTAAGAATTCATTAAAATATAAAAGAAGAAATCTATCTCATATATCTATGCAAAAACTCCAGGAATGTAAATAAATAAATATAATCATAAATCATAAAGAATCCAGTAGCACATTTAAAAAGTTTAATCCACAACTGTGGTGTTTATCCAGAAATTCAAGGATAGTACAATAATAGGAATGCTATTAATATTTTTACCAAATTAATAGATTTAGGGAGAAAAATCATGATTCTTTCCATAAACACTAAAAAGACATTTGATAAAATTCAACATTCATTCTCATTAAAAATGCAGTATAATAGGTCTGAATAGACATTTCTTCAATGTAATAAAATAGATCTACTGAACTCATTAGCCAAAATCCTGCTTAATAGAAAAATTATATGAAAATTTTCACTAAAGAGAGGAATAGACCAATGACTTCTGCTACCATTACTTTCCTTTAATACAGATTTGGAGAGACAGGTAATTATAATTAGCCAAGAGACACAAGAAAGAATAACCAGGAAAATTCAAAAAAAGAACCATAGTTAAGGAGTACTAATCACACTAAATAATAAAATACATAATAAAACTACAATAATTAAAACAGTACCCAGATATTGTACTAAGACGCAATATGTAATCTACAAGTAGATTCAATTACACGAGACCATAATGTATGAAAAAGATGACATTTCTTCTTAGTAAGGAAAAGATAATAATTCAATAAAAGATTGGGGGTGGGGATCGGCCCGTGGCATAAGCTCCACTTTAGTGGCTTGAGGTTTGCCAGTTCGGATCCTGGGGGTGGACCTACGTACTGCTTATCAAGCCACTCTGTGGCAGGTGTCCCACATATAAAATAGAGGAAGATGGGGACAGATGTTAGCTCAGGACTAATCTTCCTCAAAAAAAAAAACGATTTGGGGATAACTGGGTAGATATATGAAAGTACAGTTGAGTGCATATCACACAGATTTCGTTCTGGAGAAGTTCTTCCACCTCAGCCAGTGTGTGTGCCTGGCCCTCCTGACCTGTGTCACTGCCTCTCCTACACAGATCTCCACTGAGTCTTCTCTGCTTTCGGTAGCCTTCCTTTAACTTTTTTGGTGGAGTGAGCTTTAGCGTTCCCCTAGCTTTACCGAAAATAAAACAATAGTTTTATAAACAAAACTGGTAGTACATTTCAGTTTCTCATTCTCCCTGTTGCTGTTTGATGATTTTCTTTTTTAAAGAAAGAGGAAATGCCACTATTATCCTGCCAAACCACAAGACTCCAAATCTTTTTTTCTAAATGTAAATTTCGCAGTGTACTCATAGTTCTTTTCCTTGCTGTCTCAGTGCGAGCTGCAGTGGTGACTCCAGTGGGTGGGTCCATCTGAGATAGGGACTGGGAGTAGGCAAGCCTTAGTTTGGTCTTCCCATGCTTCTTTTTATCTTTTAATTCTTCCTTCCTAGTGATGGCACAGAAGGAGAGAGGAAGAGATAGGCAGATTGATTGGCGGCCAGTGAGTGGCAAGATGATCCTCTCTTTTTTGTTGCTGCTGGGTTTTGTCTGGTCTTGTCATCAGGGTCTTCTGCATGGCCACTTCTCCAGCATTCATATGTATTATTCAGAGACCACATTGAGGTCCCTCTACTACTCAGTTCTCTGGAATGGGAGACCCAGCTCCAACTTCTGGCCTCTCAGGCAACCTTGTTTCTTCTTACAGTCTATTCCACAGTCCCTGCTGACGGGGTTTCCTCACTCAATGGGTGGTCATGCTAGGGGTATTACTGATTAGAGAGAAAAGACAA